GAACCTGCTGGGCAGTAGCAGCACAGCCCTCTCCAGATGGGCACACGGGCAGAGCTTGGCACTGGCAATCCTCGGGCAAAGCTCTCTGGCATGGCAGGTTGGCTGCCGGGACCTCCGTCTCACCGCTGCCACGGGCTCAGGGGCAGCTGGCAGCACTGAGCTCGTCCTCGTCCCCAGAGCATCGAAGGGCACCAAGAACTGGGCGCAGGGAAAGACGGAGCCGTGGCACTGCCGGGCTGGTTCTGTGGGACCAGGAATGGGCTAGTTCTCACCGCCTGGGTGCCACCCTCCAGTTTGACGTTGGTACCCACAAGGGTGGGTGATGATGGCCAGGCTGGGGGCTGGGAGATGTCCCGTGCCAGCCTGGGAGGGTTCATCACCGGACACCAACCGGTTTGCGGCAGGGAGGTGATAAAATGGGCTGCCTGCTCATTGCGTCCCCAGGCACGGAGCTCCCTTCTCGCTCGTCAGCTCCTGGCACTGCCCCATGGCAGCCGGGACTCTCATCCGGAGGGGCAGCCCAGTGCCAGGACACACGCTCTGCCCGCTGCCGCCAGTGTGCCCGGCTGCAGGCCACACCAGCACACTGCAAGGCCACCACAGGTGCTGCCATGCTGCTGGCATCGGCACCCGTATGGCCATGGGCATGCACGGGGCAGGACAACAGGCTCAGCACTCAGGGCTCTCTGCCAGTCCAGTACGCCCCAGTGCCATCCTCCTATTGCCCTACCACTACCCCCGTCTAGCCCAGTGTCACCTCTGGTGCCGTCCCAGTATAGGCTAGCACTGTCCCAACTATGGGCTTGTTGTGCCAGTATACCCCAGTGCTGTCTCAGTAGAGCCCAGTGTTACTTTCCCTACAGCTCTGACACTGTTCCAGTATAGCCCAGTATAGCTCTGGCGCTGTCCCAGTGTATCTCAGCACAGCACAGTGACATCCACAGAGGTGCCCCAGTTCCCCACACTGGGGACCAAAGGGTAGGTGGCAGCACTGGAGCTCCCATGAGGCCTTAGTCCAGTGCAGCTGTACTGGGGTGACCGGGGGAGGAGGGCTGCCCCAGAGCGCATGCCGTGGGCTACCCCAGCACTGGTACTGGTGGCTGTTTGGCACATCCAGCCCCGGGCACGCGGTTTGCTGCGGGTGCTGTGGGCAGGCGCCTCTGTGGGTGTCAGCTGGCTTTGGGACCCGGGCTGGGCTCTTTGTGCCACCACAGAGGCGTGGGGGACAGAGCCCTGCTGGCCCTGTGCCAGCAGGCACGATCACCAACTGCTGCGTCCTCAGCCCCCGCTATGGGCACAGGCAGGGCTGGCATCACTGCCCTGGCTGTGGGCACTGGACCCTGCTCTGGTCCTGTCCAGTGCCACCCTACAAGCACCACCCCACAGTCCACTGGGGATGCCCCCAGCCTGGCACTGGCTTCCAGGCCCCATGGCTCCCAAATATCCCCCCTCCAGCATACACACCACCAAACCCAGCAAGGCCAGGGCTTGCAAATCCCACCGGAGCCCAGTGTGCGACGCAGGGGCACAGCCCTGTGCCTGCTGCTGCTGCTAGGAAGAGGCAGGGAGGCGGGTGGACAGTATCTCTGGTTTTAATAAATACATCGGGGACCCCCATCCACGGGCACCATAAATTATGTGACGAGTCTGGCCGAGCCAGGGTGGGCGCGGTGAGACGGGGACCGGAGGGATTTTACACTATGTACAAAGTGGGCATGATGCCCGCTCTGCCCGCTGGCCAGGGGGGCTGGGAGG